CTGGCCTCTGGTGGGATGGGAATGGGAAAAGCGCAGGGAAGGAAGTGCAGGAGAAGGCTGAGGGTTGGAGAGCAGAGGGGAAATGCTCCTGGGAGCTGTTTCTCGGGAAGATCAGGCAGTGGAGTGTCCAGGTCCCCCAGGCAGGTGGGATCCGTAGGGATGACGCTGGGAGGCAGCACAGGGTGTGCTCCGAGGGGCTGGAGCCCGACAGCTCCGGCTGCTCCTGCTCCTCCTCTGGTTTGCCGGGAGGGGATGTGAGAATTCCCAGGGTCACAGAGCAATTTGGGTTGGAAGGGATCTGAAGGTCATGGAGTCCCACCCTGCCATGGCAGGGACACCTGGGACTGTCCCAGGCTGCTCCAAGCCCCGTCCCACCTGGCCTTGAGCACTTCCAGGGATGGAGCAGCCACTGGGAACTTGGGAATGTGCCTCCCTCTTCCAAGGCTGGAGGTAATTGTTCCTCCCCTGCTCTGCACAATAAACACTGGGATCTGTTTTCTTTTCCTCAAAGTAGGTCAGGAGTTGCTCAGATCGGAGTGAGCTGTGCTCGGGGTGTGCCCAGCTCGCCCCAACCCAGGCTGCCTGCTGCTCTGGGAGATCAGGGCTGGGATCCTGGAGTGGGCTGAGCCCAGCAGGGCTGGGATCCTGGGATGGGATCCTGGGCTGGGATCCTGGGATGGGATCCTGGGATGGCCCGGGACACCTCCCAGGACCAGCTGGTTCTGCAGGGAGCCTCCGTGGCAGCAGAGCCGTGTGGGGCACTCCAGGAGAGCCCCCAGGCTTTGCCAGGTGCTGCAGCTGGGCTGGAGTGTTTTTCCAGGAGGTTCTGGGGTTTTTCCAGCCCTGCCATTGCCAAGCCCCAGTGGCTGGGTGACTGGAGCCCTTTGCTCCGTTCCAAGCTCCAGCACACGCACGGGGCTGGCGCGGCTCTCGCCGGCTCTGCGGGACGCGGCGCTGGGATGATGGGGATGACCCAAAACGAAGCTGGATTCCAGGGAGTCACGCCCTGCTGAGCTGGGGAGGTGCTGGTGGCTCTGTTTGGGTTTTACGGAGCATCCCACAGATCTGTGCCGTTGGGCACGGCTGAAACTGGGCACCAGCGATCCCAGTTAACCCTGGCTTTCCTTAACTCCTTCTCCTCCGCGTCTGTGCCGAGCTTTGGGGCTTCAAAACATTCCCACCCCCTTTTCCCTGGGTTTGTGGGCTGGCTTTTCCCCCTGGGCTGGGATGAGGGCAGAGCTGCTTCTCTGTTTGTTCATCTGCGGGTTTGTTTTTGTATTTCTTGAGGGCAACTTGCTGTTGGGAGGGTGGAGGGGAGGAAGAAGAAGGCTTTGATACCCCAGAGTCTGCAGGAATAAGGTTTTCAGTCGACTGTAGGGAACTGTTTTGATTGCAAGGATGGCAAATGTTTGATGTGTTATAAATAGGGCTGACTGCGATGGAAAAAAGAAAGTGAGTTTAAAAAAAAACCCTGATTTTTTTGGTTTCTCTTGGTGTGTTTTGCTTGTTTGAGGCTGAGGGAATTAGGGATAATTTTCCGTTTTAAAATATTTAAAGGCTGGAGAGCAAAATATTAAAATGAGGTCTGTGAAGTCCCATGGGGAAGCTGGTGATGAGCAGAAAATAACACGGACTGAGGCTCCCTGATCCATGAGCTGGGCAGATGAGACCTTCAGGGTGGATGTGCTGGAATCTGCCCTTCTGCAGCTTTCGAGGAGCTCCTTGGCTGGGGAAGTTTGGCTGCTGGCACCTTCCCAGCTTTATCAGGGATTCTGCTGGCGGTGCAGCCTAAAAATCACCTTTTTTTTCCTCCACCTCTGCCCCACCTCTGAATTCCCCAGCTGTGCTCCCAAAACCTCTCCTGATCTCCCATGCTGCTGGATTTACCCAGGCACATCCCAGCCGAACTCCTGGGAGCGTCCACAAGCATTCCCAGTGTTCTGGGAATTTCAGGGAATTTCAGGGCAGCTGCCAGGAGGATCCCTGTGCATCCCTCCTTCCCACTCCCCATGAACACCATTCCTGCCTCTCCCCTGTTCCCCCTGGCTCATTCCAACAACGGCTCTTTCATTCCCAACATCTTCCCCCACGCCGGGGCTGGGCACGGGGGGAAGTCGGGATTGTTCCCATTCCCACGCTCCTGCCAAGGAATCTGAAGGAATCTGAAGGAATCTGAAGGAATCTGAAGGAATCCCCCGTGAGCTGCAGAGTGGAGCCGTGGCTGGAGCAGCCTTGGGGCTGTGTCCAGCCCCCGTGGATCCGAGGATTCCTGGCTGGATGCCGAGCTCCCGGGAACGCTCCCTGCACCCCAGGAATCCGAGGCACCTCCCCGGGCTCGGAGCTGTCTGGGGCACATTTGAGCTGTGTCTTGTTGAGTGAGGGATGAATTCCAGCCCTGCCTCCCTGCCAGGGCCCTGTGGGTGGAATTCCAGGTGAAATGCCAGCGGGGAGCAGATTGGATCGGCCCGTGGCACCCGGCTGCAGCGCCCTGCGCCAATATTTGCTCTGGGAAGTGTTTGGCCGAAGGCTCCGGCTCTCCCAGGGTGAAGCCCTTGGATGTGTCCCCGTCCTGGATCCAGGGAGCCCAGACTCGTTCTGCTCTTCCACTCCCCAAGTGTTTGCTTTGCTTTTTAACCGTTTCCGTGTCTGCTCTTGCTGTCCCTTCCCAGGCTGGCCTTGGGAGAGGTTGGATCCCAGCCAGGGGAACAGGGATGTATCCCAGGCCTTCTCCTGGCTGCTCAGGAAATGGAAATGCAGAAGAATTGTCAGCACATCCTCCAAAAAGCCCCATAGCTGCTTCCTGGGGGAAGGGCTGCTGGAATCTGCAGCGCCAGCATTGCTCCAACTGCCTCCCCGTTCCCTTGTGCAATGTATGGATAAACCCTTCCTTCCTTCCTTCCTTCCTTCCATGGATCCTGGAGAGGTCAGTGCTTCCCAGAGGAAGGCAGGCACCTCCTCCCGCTCCTCCCCAGCCCCTCTGGGGCAGCACAGTGGGATGCACAATGTGGCACTTGGGAAATTTGGCTCCCGCTCGCCTCGTGAGGCTCCAGGTTAAACAAGGAGCCGGTGCTGGCTGCTCCAGGCTGACATCAGGGGGATCCCTGTTGGTTTGTGTCCCTTCCTGGCGGGTTTGGGAGCGTGGGGATGTGGGGATGTGGGGATGTGGGGATGGGGTCCCTCCTCCTTCCCTCCCGTGCTGACGCCTCCCACTTTAATTAGAGCCAGCAGGGAGAGAACCTCAATCTTATTATTCCCTCGCAGCAGGGCAGCAGCAGCATTTCTTGGACGTCAAAAGGAGGATTAAATTAGTCTGGAAATGAGGGGGTTTTGCCTCCTTCGCTTCTCTGGGCTCTCCAGAGGGCGTGGAGCCTCCAGAATCGCTGTGGTGATGGATTCTGCCAGCCTGGCACGCGGCCCCTCGGAGCAGAGTGCTGGCAGGGGTTATTTACAGCTTCCCAGACCACAAATCCAGGGAGAAAAGTGGGAATGGAACTGCCTGGGATGCCTGCACCCTGCCCAGGTGTATCAGGGAACAGAGCAGGCTTCTGGAGGCGCCAGCTTGGTGGAAGGGATCCCGCTGTGGCTGTGGCATTCTTGGCAGGGGACAGGGGACAGGGGACAGGGGTGGCAGCTGGGGCAGAGCTGTGCTGGAGAGCTTTCCTTCCTTCCCTCTCTCTTTTTCCTTTCCTTTCCCATCTCTTCTTCTCCCTTCCCTTCTCCTCCCCGTGGTTTGGTGTCTCCAGGTGCTTCTGAACCTGGAGAATTCCCTAAAGGGGTCCCTCCTCCTCTTCCTCAGAAAACATCCAGCCCCATTTTGTATCCCCACGGGAGCAGGAGTGTTCCAGAGGAAGAAAGCCTCGATAAAAATCAAATGTTTGATGTTAGAGTAAACAAACCTGATTGTTCCTTCAGATCTGGAGTTTTCAGTACAAACAGGAGGAATCCTGGCAGTGGAAGCCTGGGAGCCGGTGCCAGGTTTCCCGGACCACTTTGGATGTCTGGATGGGGAATTTGCTGTTGTTTGGGGAAAATAACCACTAATTGCTCCCCACAACTCCCTGACAGGAGGGTGGAGCCAGCTGGGGGTCAGGCTCTGCTCCCAGGGAACAACAGGACGAGAGGAAACGGCCTCAGGTTGTACCAGGAAAGGTTTAGATTGGAAATCAGGGGAAATTTGTTGATGGGAAGGGTGGCCAGGCGCTGGCACAGCTGCCCAGAGCAGTGGTGGAGTCCCCACCTGAATGGACGTGGCACTCGGCGCGGGTTAGAGGTGAGCAAGGTCAGGTGTGGTGATCTTGGAGGTCTTTTCCAACCCCAGTGATTCCCTGATTCCACTTTTGGCCAATTCCCACGTCCTGCACCCCCAGGCACTCCCTGCCCGGGTCCCTGGGCTGAGGGAGGGACCCTTTGGGTTCACAGAGGCTGCGGTCACCCTTGGGCAGCTCACGGTGTGCACTGCGGGCTGCAGCTGCTCCTGCAACGAGGGATCCCCTCAAAAAGCTGCCGAGGCCTTGCCATAAATGAGCCCTGGCTTCCCAGCTTGCCAAACATCTCCTCTGACAAAGAATTCCAGCCCCTTGTCCCAGCTCCCGAGCTGCTGCAGCGGTTCCAGCCCTGCTCTGTGCTGGCTGCCGGGAGCCGAGCGTGTTCATTCCCTGTTTACTTGGAATTTGCCGTGTGTGAAAATGAGTCCTTGGCTCCAAATGGAGCTGAGAGACGCTTGTGCTGCTTGTTTTTTCCAGCAGGCGTTGGAGCTGGAGCCGTGGGCTGGGATTTAGGGAGCTGAGGAGCTGCTGGTGGGTGAGGAGCATCCTGACTGAGCCGAGCTTTGGGGGATGTTTGGGGGTTTGCTGGGGTCTTTTTCAGGAGCTCTGGGCTGTTCTTGCCGCCTCCTTTGTCTTGCAGGCGCTGTGTGGCCCATCCCTGTTCCCCTTCCAGGGAATTCCTCCATGAGGTGGGAACTCAGAGCCTGACCCCCCTCCCTTGTCCTTTCTCCACAGCTGGTCAGCGAGAAGGTCGGAGGGGCCGAAGGGACCAAGTTAGACGATGACTTCAAGGAGATGGAAAAGGTGAGTGGGGAACCAGAGCAATCCCCAGAATCACCCCATGGCTCCTGTGGGACTGGCTGAATCCCTGAGCTGATCCTCCCTGGGCTCTCGTCTCTGCTGCAGAAAGTGGACCTGACCAGCAAGGCTGTGACAGAAGTACTGACCAGAACCATAGAGTACCTCCAGCCCAACCCAGGTGAGGGCCTGGCGCTCCCCTGTCCCCTTCCCAGCTTCCCAGGGAAACAGGGAGCTGGGCAGGGAGACAGCTTTGGGTCAGTGGAGATCTGGGTTCCCCTCCTGCCCTGAATCCAGGCTGCTGAGCAGGGACAGATGCAGCCTTTGCCTCAGACCTAGAGAGGCCCTGAGGGGACCCGTTTTTCTCGGAATGTGCAGGAAAAGTGTTGTTTCTGGGCTGGGAAGGGGTGGCTGGCTCTGTCAGCCCTGCACCCTCCCAGCCAGCTGCTCCAGAGAGCGCTCCAGGGACCCTGGGAGGGCTGGGGAAACTCCTTTGGCCTCCCCTGGCCAAGCACTGGGGAACTATTTTTGCTTTGCCTCTTGGAAAAACCTTTTCTTCATAGTGAGGGATATTTCTGGGGGATGGAGACAATGGAGCCTCCCAGCTTTGTGTGCAGCAGGGGGGGAAGGAAACCGGGCTGGCAGCAGGCAGGGGGTGCAGGGAATGCAGAGCTGGCAGAGGCTGAGGCGTTTGTGTGGCAGCTTCCAGAGCCAAGCTCACCATGCTCAACACCATGTCCAAGATCCGCGGGCAGGTGAAGAACCCCGGCTACCCCCAGTCCGAGGGGCTGCTGGGGGAGTGCATGATCCGCTACGGGAAGGAGCTGGGAGACGATTCCAACTTCGGTGAGTGTCCCCCGGCCTCGGGGGCAGAGGGGGATCCTGCTTCACATCCCAGGTGTCCCTCGGAATCCTGGAAGGGTTTGGAATTTTGTGGGGCTTAGAAGGGGTTAAAAAACTTCCAGAGTGAGCAGGTTCCAAGAGGAGGAGAGGAGGTGTAGGTGGGATATTGGAAAGAATTCCTGTGAGGGGGGAAAGGCCCTGGCACAGGTGCCCAGGGAAGCTGGGGCTGCCCCTGGATCCCTGGCACTGCCCCGGGCCAGGGTGGAGCAGTGAAGGTGGGACTGGCTGGGCTTTAAGGCCCTTCCGTCCCAAACCATTCTGTTTCTGGGTGATCCCAGCTATCCTGGATCTCAATCCACTCTCTTATTAAACACTGAGATAAATTTTCACGTAGAATAAAAACTTTCCTCTAAACTGAAGAGCAAAGCAGGAGCGGGACAGAGCAAGGCTGGGAGTTTCACACAGCTCTGAAGGATCCCTTCCAACCCAAACCTTGCTGTGATCCCACAGGAACGCTGGAGCCAAGAAACCTTCTGGCGTGGCTGTTCCTTGTGGCCACGTGTGAGTGGCAGGGAGGAGGGGGTGAAGCCTTTTGGTGACATCAAATCCCCTGGAACCTCGGCCAGCGCACGTGATGGCCCCGGGCAGCACAGCTGGCTCTGCCAGGGCAGGGAGGAGCTGCCTTGCCTTAGGAAAATTAAAAACCTCTGGCTGCTTTTGGGACTGACAGAGGATTTTGGAGATCCTCCCTGGCCAGCTCAGAGCTCTACATCAATCCTGGCTCACAGGGACTGAGGAGAGCCAGGGCAGGAGGCTTCTAGGAGCACACACAAACTCTATTTCCTTAATGGCCTCCTTAAAGCAGCACTGGGGACTCCATCCCTCACTTCCAGGTTATTCAGAGTTATTACAATTAAAATAACACTTCTGGTCTATTGATTTTTCCAGCTGGACAGTGGAGAGATGTTTTCCCTTGACCCTCTCTCTCTCTCTCTCTCTCGTGTGTTTTCCTGTGTTCATGCACTGCTGAAATCGTTGTTTTGCCAAAGCTGCACAGGAATAATTTCATCTCTAAATGTTTCCTGCCCTGAATATGCTTTGCTCTGCAAGTCTGCCTGGCTTAAATGTCAGAGTGGCCAGAGCCTTAGAAAAGGATGGAGCTGAACAGGTTTCAGTGAGCGACTTTGAGCTCTGGGGCTGTCCAAGGCATGGAGCGACCTGGGGCAGTGGAAAGTGGGACTGGATGGGCTTTAGGATGTTCCCACCCCAAACAATTCCATGATTCTGGGACACACCAGGGCTTCCTCAGGCCGTGTTTAATTCCCCTCTCCCTGCTGCTGTCCCCGCAGGGGACGCGCTCCTCGACGCCGGCGAGTCCATGAAACGCCTGGCAGAGGTGAAGGACTCGCTGGACATCGAAGTCAAACAAAACTTCATTGATCCCCTGCAGAACCTGTGTGACAAAGACCTGAAAGAGATCCAGGTAAGCACCCCCTCTCCTCCTCATCTCCCTGCTCTCTGGGCTCTTTGGCTGTTGGTGCACGGAGCCTGCTCTGGAGTGCTGGGGACCAGGGGCTGGCAGGAATTCCCTGCACTGTGTGTGTTTTCTCCCTCCAGACTCTCTGCTATTTCCTCCCTGCTCAGCGCTGCTCCCGCTGCTCCTGAGCAGCCCAAAAGGCTGGATGCAGGTTGGAATGGTTCTCCCTTTGCCATTTTGATGGAGGGTGCTGTGGGAATACATCCCAACACCCCTGCTGGGCTTGCTGAATTGGGTTCTTAGTGCTGGGAGCTCCCAGATGGGATAAATTTGGGCTGCAAGCTCGCCTCAGGTCTCAGCATCCCAAGGAGCCCTCCGTGGTCTCACGGGGAGAACAGCAGCTCCAGTGTGCTACACACAGTCAGGTCCAGGCTTTGGAACAGGATCCATCCCAACCTCCAGGTCCCAGTCAGGTCTCCTGAGGGAGTTTCACTCTCAGTGGAAATAACCAGGTGCTGCCTCAGTGCCTGTCCGTACCCCGGTTCCGTGGGGCTGATTTACCATCCCTGCCCCGAGATCCGGGAGTGCAGTGCCCAGGAGCCACATTCCTGCTGTCCAGAGATCCCTGCAGCTCCTGGGGAGCTCTTCACCTTCCCAGAAGGCTTCTGTGGGGAACAGAAGCTGCTCTGCAGCCTTTTCCTCAGTGGAAAGGGTCTGGAATCATTCCCCCATCACACCCTGGGGCCTCTCTGCCACCTGGAGCAGAGGTGGGAGCCCCAGGGGATCAGGTGTCTGACACCAGTGAGCTCGGCCTGTAACCGGAGCTGTCCTCCCAAGCCTCTGGCTTTTCCCTCTTCCCTGCTCTCTCCATCCTCCCCCAGCACCACCTCAAGAAGCTGGAAGGGAGGCGCCTGGACTTCGACTACAAGAAGAAGCGACAGGGCAAGATCCCCGATGAGGAGCTCCGGCAGGCCATGGAGAAGTTTGAGGAATCCAAGGAAGTGGCAGAGACCAGCATGCACAACCTCCTGGAGACGGATGTGAGTGTGTGAGCGCAGAGCTGGGGGTCCCTGGGGCAGGCTGTGATCACACCCCGATTCCCACTCCTCCCGAGTGAGGTTCAGCTCTGGGAACGCCCAGATGTGGGTGATGTGACAGGTCTTTGATCCTGGCACCAAACAGGCTCCTCTCAGGGTGCTGGGGGTCGGTTTGGGGGGCAGCACAGCTGGGAAGGGTTTGGCAAACCCGGAGTGGCAGGAAATGGGCTCAGTCCCACACAGCCGAATCCCAAACCTCCCCTGGGCTCCCCACGGCTGCCTTCGCCCAGCCCAGCCCCGGGGCAGCGCAGGAGGCTGCAGCTGGGAGCAGCGCTGATCCCAGCCCCGTGGTTCCCCAGATCGAGCAGGTGAGCCAGCTGTCAGCCCTGGTGGACGCCCAGCTGGATTACCACAGGCAGGCCGTGCAGATCCTGGACGAGCTCGCCGAGAAGCTCAAGCGCAGGTGAGTCCCAGGGTGCTCCCTGGGGTTCCTCTGGAAATCACATCCTCTGGAAATCACATCCTCTGGAATCACAGGGTCCCTCAGTGGATGGGGTGGGAAGCTCACACCTTCCACTACCCCAGGTTGCTCTGAGCCCTGTCCAGCCTGGCCTTGAAAAAGCTGTTGGCTGTTCCAGGTGGGGTCTGAATTTCGTTGGGTGTCTGATCCAGCCCAAATCCTGGCTGAGGAAGGCTCGTCCCACCTCTCCCTCCTCAGCCTCCCCGCTCTGGGGAGGACCTGGCAGCGCTGCCCTGCTGCTCTTCCCTCCTGGGAGGCACTGCGGAGTGGATCCCGTGCCTGCTCTGAATTTGGGAGGAGCTGGGAGGATCCTGCCAAGTCTGAGCTCTCAAACTACAGCACGAGTGTCCTCTGCTGGCCTGAATTCCTGAGCATTCCATCGTGAAACCTGGCACGTGTGAGCCCTCTGGAAGGGCAGATCCCAAACCCTGGGGAAGTCCCCCCTGCCAGGGACAGATCCCTGTCTGCAAAGCCCCTCCTGCCCTGGGCAGCCCCCCAGGAGGACAAACACCGTGTCCATCCCGTCCTGCTCCGTTCCTTGCTGCCTTACCCAGGGCTCTTTTCCCTGTCCCAGGATGAGGGAGGCGTCCTCGCGTCCCAAGCGGGAATACAAACCCAAGCCCAGGGAGACCTACGACTTCAGGGACACCGACCAGTCCAACGGGGGCTTCTCCTGCAACCCCACCCCCAAAGTCTCAGGTAACGCTGTCCCAGGTGTTCTCTGGTGCCTCTGGAGCAGCCTCCCAGGGAAGGAGGGCAGCTGCTGTGCCTGCACAGGATGTTCCCGGTGTGCTGGACGCTCCTGCGCGAGCCCGTGGCTCTGGAAAACGTCGGGAATGCCTCTAGAGCGGGCTGTTTTCTCCTGGGACCCAGGAGCCTGTGCTGTGTTGGCTTTGGGGATGTGCCAGAGGGGTCTCCAGCCTGGGCCTCTCGCTGTCAGTGCCAGACAGGAAAACTGAAGCCTCCCTCCTTCCCTTCCTCCCTCCTTGTCTTCCATCCGCTGCATCCCTCCCTCCCCGATCCCAGCAGGTTCCTAACAGCATGGGGGTCCTGCTTTTCTCCTAACAGACCCCTCTGGGCCCTGCCTGTCCCTGTGTCCCGTTCCCGTTGGTTTAAGCATGTCTCTCTTTTGTTTGGAAGCAGCTTCCACCTCTTTCCGGTCGGACAAGCCGTCCCGGTCCTCCGTCAGGAGTATCCGTGAGTTTCCTCCCTCTGCACTGCTCCGTGTGTGGCCTCCTCTCCCCGTCCCTCCTGGCTGCTCCTCCCCGCTGCTGCTGCTCCTTGGAGCTGCTCATCCCTCTGTGCTGAGCCTGGGCTGAGCCCTGAATTAACCTGAATTAACCCAGCCCTGCTCCAGTGGGATTTTCCACCCCAAAACCTGGGCCTGGCTCACCCGGAGGAGCTGCAGCAGCTCCCGGCACCCAGGCATGTCCTGATCCCGAGGGATCGGGTGCTTCCCCACCAGAGGTCAGACACCTCAAGGATCTCCCTGTTCTTGGAAGCACCCAGCCTGGATCCCTCCCACTGCTGCTCCCCGTGTCCCTGTGGAAGGCTGGAGGGAGGAGGCAGAGCCTCAGCTGGTGGAGTTTGTGGGGTGTGGTCCCAGCTGGGCCTCGGAGGGGTTGTGGGGTGATGTGGGGTCCGTGGTTCCTCCTGCAGGACCTTGGGATCCCGGCTGGGCTGGGGCTTGGAGCTGCTGTGCTGGGAGTGTGGAGCAGGGCTGTGGTGGTGGGGCCAGCCTGGTGATTTGGGGAGTTCTCAAACCCATCAACGTCTGCCTGCGGCTTGTGGGGATTTCTGAGTGCTCTTCTCATGCTGGGCCCTCCCTTGCTGTGGGTCTGGAATTGTGGAATGGTTTGGGTTAGGAGGGACCTCCAAGACCATCCCAATCCACCCCCTGCCCTGGGCCAGACCTCCCGCTGTCCCAGGCTGCTCCAAGCCCCGTCCCCCCCAGCCCTGGGCACTTGCAGGGATATTGAGCAGCTGGATGTGCTGGCTGCCCCTGGCGTGCCTGGGAGAGCCCCAGCACAGTGGGGAGGGCTGGGGGGTCCTGCAGGCCCCGGGGGTCTCTCTTAGCTCTGTCCCTTTCCACTGGGATTCTCCCAGCTCCAAAGCTGAGTCCCAAAATGCCAGTGCAGAGAGTGAGCAGCAGGAAATCGCACAGAAAATCCTTCTGCAGGCAAAAGGTGGCACTTAAATCCCAGAGCCGAGCTGGGGGAATGAGACTTCGGGCTTCTCCCGAGTTTTGGGGGGGCTGCTCGTGGATTTGTGGCCAGGGAGGCAGCTGCTGTCCTGTCCCCCCCAGGTGTGGGGTGACCCCTCCAGAGTCCCCCTCCATGTCCAGCCCCACCACTGAGCTACAGGGCAGCTTCTCCCCTGTGCAGAGGGATGAGGAGCCGTGCCCGTGCTCGGGCTGGATCAGGAGTGCAGCAGGAGCAGCAGGCGGTGCTGGAGGCAGGAGCTGTGCTGGGAGCGGGGCTGGGATCACGGAGGAAGCCGTGGAAGCCGCCCTGGCAGCCCAGGCGGGATGCAGAGCCCGTGGCAGGATCCCAGGGCTGTGTGGGGTGCTGCTGATGTGTCCCCGCTGTCCCCACAGCCCCCCTGGACCAGCCCTGCTGCAAAGCCCTCTACGACTTCGAGCCCGAGAACGACGGCGAGCTGGGCTTCAAGGAGGGCGACATCATCACCCTGACGAACCAGATCGACGAGAACTGGTACGAGGGGATGATCCACGGCCAGTCCGGCTTCTTCCCGCTCAACTACGTGGAAGTGCTGGTCCCGCTACCTCAGTGAAACGGCGCCGCTCCCGCCCCGAGTGTCCCGAGCTCCATTCCAGCTCCAGCCCGCCCTCCCCACCTCGGGGCCAGGCGCTCCCAGGGAACAAACCAGAAGGGTCCCACGGCCCCTTCCCCCCAGCAATTTGGTTATTTTCCTTTTTTTTTTCTTCTTTTTTTTTTTAATTTTGTCCTTCTGGTGCTTGAACTTCGGTACTTTGCCCACCCCCAGCCGCGGGCAGCTCTGCCCTGGCCCTGGCCCTTCCCAGTCCCTGTCCTTCCTTTGGATCCAGTGCCCAGATGAGCCAGGTGGGAGAGCTGGGATGTGTCCTGGGGATGTGTCCTGGACACACAGGAGAGCTGGGATGGACACTGGGATGAGCTGGGATGTGTCCTGGACACACAGGGATGAGCTGGGATGTGTCCTGGACACTGGGATGAGCTGGGATGTGTCCTGGACACTGGGATGAGCTGGGATGTGTCCTGGGGATGTGTCCTGGACACACGGCCCCAGGGCAGGGCAGCCCCAGCGAGCGCTGCCCTGTCCCCACGGATCCCCGAGGGATCAGGGGAGGGCAGCTGGGGCACAGCAACACTAAAACACGCAGAGAACACTAAGGCAGCCCTGCAGGGCAGGTGCTGAGCCCTGCCTGGGGCTCTCAGAGCCACCCCTGCCCATCCCGGAGGGACAGGAGCGATGTCCCCTGCCCGCCCGGCCCCTCCCCGCAGAGCTCAGCCCCTGGGGGGACCCTGCTCCTTCTGCCCGTGGTTCTTTCCTGGAGCTGAGGCTGTTCCTGCTACAAACTCCCCGCAGTCGCTCACACCCGAGGGGTCTCTGGAGAGGGAGGAGCTGGGTCCCAGCCCGGGCTGTGTCTGTGGTGGGGCAGAGCTTGTGGTTCCTGTGCCCGGGGCTCTGCACGTTCCCCCTTCCCGGGATCCCTCCTGGGGCTGGAGCTCCTCAGGTGCCTCCCCTGGCCCCCAGCCTGCCCGGAGCCCCCTCCCCGGGGCAGCACCCCTGCTGCGGTGGGAAAAGGGCTGGTTCATCTCAGTGTCACCTCTGCCACCCCTGGTCCCTCAGCTGTCCTTCCCGGGGCCAGGACTGGGGTTGGGCTGGGCAGAGCAGCTTGCTGGGCTCCGAGGTTTTCCTCCCTGCAAAAGTGGGTTCTCCCCTCGTGGAGCTCCAGCTCCGAGCAGGGCTGTGCTGCAGCTCCCCTGTCCTGCTGCAGGAGGTTTGTGAGTGTCCGTGTGTCTGTCTGACCCCGCTGTCCCCTCCCCGGTGGGAGCAGGGTCACGGCCCGGGGACCCCGGCTCCTGCTCAGGTGGATTGAAACGCGTTCTGTCAGCTGGGACAACTCGCTCGAGTTTGTTTTTGTTTTGTTTGGTTTTTTTTCTTTTGGGTTTTGTTTGGTTTTTTTTTTTTTGGTAATGGTTTCTCCTGGTTTTTAGGGGAAAAAATGATGACCCACAATTCTTGACTTGTATCTCTGAATGAAAGTATTAAATGTTTTCTTCTTTCTAATGGCTGCGTCGTGGGATCAGGGAATGGTTTGGGTTGGATGGGACCTGGAAGGTCTGGGCAAGGTCACCTCCTCCTGTCCCAATGTCCAGCCTGGCCTTGGGCACCTCCAGGGACCCAGGGACAGCCCCAGCTGCTCTGGGCACCTGTGCCAGGGCCTGTCCCCCTGCCAGGGAGGAGTTTCCTCCCCATCCCCTCAGTCCAGGCCAGGGCAGGATGTCCCCGAGCCCGCAGCGTCCCCAGCCAGCGGAGCCGCCTTTCTGCAACTGCTCTTTATTCAAACTATCACTTCCACGAGCCACTGACCCAGACACTGCCGCACCAGCACGGCTGCCCCGGGGCCGGCGGGAGCTCCGGGAGCTGCGGGATCTCCGGGAGCTGCGGGATCTCCAGGAGCCCCGGGAGCTGCGGTCTCTCCAGGAGCCCCGGGAGCTGCGGGATCTCCAGGAGCCCCGGGAGCTGCGGGATCTCCGGGAGCCCCGGGATCTCCGGGAGCTGCGGGAGCCCCGGGAGCTGCGGGATCTCCGGGAGCCCCGGGATCTGCGGGCGCTCCGGGATCTGCGGGAGCCTCCGGAGCCGCGGGGCTGCCCCGCACCGGCTCTGGCTGAGCCCCGCCCGGGCTGCGGGAGGCACCTGGTCCGACCGAGGGGCCCCGGGCCCTCACCCGCTGAGCTTGAGCAGGCTGAAGATCTGCTCCAGGACGTGGGTGAAGCTCTGGTCTTTGGGGGTGCGGGAGGCCAGGGAGCCCTGAGCGGGGGAACCCCAGAGAATTCCAGACCAGGGAATGGGTGCCCCGCCAAAGCCCCCTCCCCTCGCAGCCCTTCCCACCTTCAGCTTGTCCAGGTAGGTCTGATCCTGGCTCCACAGCTCCTGGAACTTCACCAGGTCGGGAGCCCCCTTATAGAACTCCACCAGCAGCGTCTGGGGGGGACAGAGGGGCTGCGGGCCCTGGGGGTGCCCCAAAACCGAGCACGGGGACCCCAAAGAGCTCGGAGGACCCGGGGGCGCTGGGGAAGGGACTGCCACCATCACCAGGGCTAAGGGCACGGTGGGGACGAGTGGGGGCACAGCCTGCCCCAGTGGGCTCGGGGGGGTTTTGGGGGCCCCCACCCCTCTCTCACCATCTCCTGCACGACGTCGTTGGTGAGGAATCCGTCCTGGATGTAGGTGACCTCCACATCCATGGGGATCCCGTAGTCATTGGGCCGTTGCTGGGGGATGGGGAGCCGGGCAGGGGTCGCTCCGCAGCTCGGGGGTCCCCCGCGGGCACTGCGTGGGGGGACCCCACCCCAAATTCTCCCCCACTTACCTCTGGCGGCGGCATCACCCAGAAGGGCGCGATTTTGGACTCCACGCCGGGGTTGCCGTGGTAGAAGGGCCCTGTGGGGACAGAGGGGGCTGGCACGGGGGGCTGACAGCAGCCCCGGCCCCCCGGGACCCCCGGGACCCCCGGGCCCCGGGCACGTACCGCAGATGAGCCCCAGGCAGGGCTGGAAGCCGTTGCCGCTGCCCTGCAGCTTGAGCTGATAATCCATCTGCGCATCGATGTCGTGCAGGGACGGCAGCGCGGGCCCGAAGGGGTGGCTGTGGTACCACCCCACCAGCGACAGCCCCCGCAGGAACAGGCTCTGGCAGATCTGGGGGGGCACAAACCGTGGATTCAGCCCCTCCAGAGCCCCCCGCCAGCCCCCGAGGCTGGAGCAGCCCCTCACCTCCTCCTCCACAGCGCCCGCGGCTTCGGCGTCACCCAGGCGGGTCCGGCACGGGAAGGCTCGGAGCACCGTCAGCACTGCGGGGACACTGCTGGTGACACCCCCGGCCCACGGCAGAGCCACCCCCGCCCCCCCAAACCCCACCTACACTGGGTGTTGGTGTCCCAGCGTCCCCCCAGGTACCCCACCACTTCGCTCCGCGTCAGGTGGCTGTGGAAATCCTAAAGGAAAAAGAGGTTCAAATCCACAGTTCAGCACTTTCAGCACTAAAACGGCGACACGAGGGACACGGCGCTCGCTGCAGATGTCCCCAGCGCCATCAGTGTCCCCAGCGCCATCAGCGATGTCCCAGCCTGGGGAGGGGACGCACCAGGAGCAGGAGGACGTTGCTGGAGATGGCCACGTTGAAGGGCTGGAATTTGTTGATGGCGGCAAAGGACGTCACCTCCACCAGGGTCTGGGGGTTCCTGGAAGAGCCAGAGCCCCGCTGGCACCGCTGCCCCCGGCTCTGCTGAGCCCCGGGGTCCCCGTGTCCCCTACCTGGCCGAGTCGCGGGTGCCCAGGCTGCAGTAGCGGACGGGCACCCGGGGTTTCACCTCCAGCCTTTTCCCCGCGGCGCCGGCATCTGCCAAGGACAGGGTCCCGTCACCGGGGCCGGGCTGCCCGGGACCCCCGGGACCCCCACGGCAGCTCACCCGTCCCCGCCGGCTCCGCCAGGCTCTTGCCCTGCTGCTTCTTGCTCCTCTCCTCCGGCTTTTTGGGAGCGGCCGGCTCCGGCACCGGCACCCGACCCTCCCTCGCCGCCTCCTCCTCCTCATCCTCGGGCAGCTCCTCCTCCTCGCCCTCGCTGGCCAAGCTCTGCGGGCACACGGGGCTGGCACCCACCTCGCCCCGCACCCTGGGGGTGCCAGGGGGAGGCGACCCCGCTCCCACCTCCTCGGGGGGTGGCACGTTGGGCTGGTGCTTGCGCAGCCAGGCAGCCTTGTACTGGTCCAGCTTCTGGCCCTTGTAGCGCACGGACGCCCAGCCGCAGCCCGACTTCTTGGCGGGGTTCACCAGGCGCTTGCAGTGCGTGGCCCAGGCGCTCGGGGAGTTGAAAACCTGCCCCGTCTCCTGCCAGGTGATGGTCCCGTCCGAGCCCAGGTCCCCCACGAACTTCTTGCCCTGGGGGCGATGGCGGGAGTCACGTCCCCTTGTCCCCATCACTGTCCCACGTTCAGCATCTGCATCCCTTGTCCTCATCCCACATCCCCCGTCCCCATCCCAGGTCCCTTTTCCCGTCCCTTTCCCTGTCCCACGTCCCCAGCCGTGTCCCCTGTCCCCAGCCGTGTCCCCTGTCCCCAGCAGTGTCCCCAGGCTCACCAGGTAATAGATGGACAGGACGCCCCTGCCCGGCTCCAGGAGCCCGTCTCGGAGCAGGACCCTCAGGGTGATGCCCCTGCGGGTCAGAACGGCCCCCCGGGCCCCCCCCGCCGCCTTCGCGCCGCTCCCGACCTCCGGCTCGGCCTCGGCCTCGTCCAGCCCCGGCTCCAGCTCATCCTCATCCTCCTCCAGACACTCGTCCCCGCCGGGGGAGGCGGCCGCCAGCGCTGCCGGGGGGGGACAGCGTGTGGCAGCACCCCTGGGTGTCCCCCCATGGTTTGTGCCTGCGGATGGGGACACGGGGACGGGGGGACACAAGCACGGAGGGGACACAAGGACATGGAGGGGATGGACACACGGACAGGGGGACTGGGGGACGGGAGATGGGGGACACTGACGTGCGGAGATGAGGGTGAGGACACAAGAGCGTGACAGGAAAGGACAGCGGGCACGGGGACACGGCTGGCGGATACAGGAACGGGCTGAGTGACGTGGGGACACGGCTGGGGGACACGGGGACTTGGTCGGGGGACACGGGGTGAGCCTCCCCTGGCCCAGCAGGTCCCCAGAGCCCGGTGTGAGCCCAGAGGGCTGCGGGGGAGGCCGGGGGTGACACACGACAGGTCCCCGGGCGGGGGGGGGGGGGTCCCCCCCCCC